ATGTGGCGAGGCTGTGCCAGACGCTGGAGGTCGAGACTGTTCGCGGTGCGAAGCTTCGTTGAATCCATTCTCTTCAAGTTGACCAGCTCTGCTCTGGGCTTCCATAGTAACCGTTCATCCTTGGTCAATTTCAAGGGGAGAGTGTCTCGCCGGCGACTGTAGTTCTGGGACCTCGGCGCTCATGGTGAAACTCGAATGGGGGAAAGTAAAGACATGCCAGATCAAATAGCCATGTCTTGTGAACCTAATGTGGTACTGTTGGTGTGGCGAGTGGAAGAGGTTGATTTCAGTGGGTGCAGCTTCCGTGCGCAGGCACGTGCTTTATCCGGGAAACATCAACCAAGGCGGGATTCAGATTACACCGAGACTCCTCGCAGACTAGCCATCAGAATCGCCCCCTACCACGACTCCATTATGAGAAGGCATTTCATGATCCTGAATTGTCTCGGCTCAATTCTTCCGAGAAGATAGCCGTTCCTTTGAACATGGCTGTCGCGCATCTACCTCCTCGTGATGGCTTCACGTAGCACCTACGCAGAGAGGAGACTGACTCGGACTAGCGACGAAGAAGACGCCTCGAAACGTTCACGAGCCCGCGTTGCACGCGCCTGCACCCGCTGTCGAGCCCGCAAGGATCGATGTGATGGCCAGCCAGAATGTTCAAACTGTATCAATGCCGGACAACCGTGTCTGTACGTGGCAGGGAGCAAGAAGAGAGGACTTCCAGAGGGATATGTCCGGGGCCTGGAGAAATTATGGGCTGTCATGTTACAAAAGGTGCATGGCCTAGATGCTACAGTACGGCTTGTGGTCAGCCAGAACGAGGAAGAGCTGCTGCGAATATGGAACCACCATAAGCTTGGGGATGATCTTCACACAGCATGGAAGGAATCAAACGTGCTCCCAGAGCTGGAGAAGCTCCTGTCTCGCCTCGAGCATAGCCCTCCAATCCACCAAAAGCGGAAGCGAGACTGCGAAGACGATGCGGAGACAGCGCAGTCTCTGAACGACACTCCAAGCGATAGTGCTGTGTTCACGCCAGATTTCAAGGTCATAGCCGTGTCAGAAAGTAACGAGGCTGTTGGTAGTCTCAATATAAACGCTCTTGGACCTAGCTTCGGAGAGACTTTGTTTCAGAACCAACCCAGCACTACCAATTTCGAGGAAGTGCCACTTCCGCCTTCGGCCTCACGTCTTTTGGATCAGTACTTCACATTCACCCACTGTTGGTTTCCCATCTTGGATAGGCCTTCTACTTTGCGGAAATTCCACGAACACACTAGGCTTCAAAAAAGACGTCCTCTGGACACTTCTGATCTTTCTTACATGTGGGCTATTTGTGCCTATTCTCACCAACAGACTCGGCATCTTTGGTCGACCCCTCATGCAATACCTGGACCAAGCGTTGCTGATATGCGTTCTCTAGCGAGGAGGATGATACCTGCCGAGAGTGGACCTTTTTCGCTCGGTCATGTTCAGGCATTATTGTTACTGGTCCTCCTTGACATGGGCCTCGGTGACTGGACGTCTGCCTGGATGTTACTGGGCTCTGCTATACGAGCTTTGCTAATCTCCATAGGACCGGAAGCGATCTCGCTGAAGACTCCCATGGCTCTATATCTTGACTCTGCCTTTAATAAACAGGGAGGCACAATGGTGTCTGGATCTGAATCCGCTAGTTTGAGGGAGAAGACATGGCAAGCAGTCCTACAAGGTTGTTTTGTCTTGGATACCATCGTCGCAATCCGTCTAAATAGGCCGCCACATCTTCAAAGTGGACACTTGCGTCCTTCTGGGCTCCTCGAAGAAGACGGACACGAAGAATGGGAACCATGGAAGGCCGCAACTGGTCATGATGGGGCGGAGTCTCGAGAACCAGCTTTCGTGATGAGCTGCTTTAATCGGTTAACAGAGCTATGTATGATTGCCAATAGCGCGTTTTGCACCGAGACCTCCCGGATGACCAGTGGAACACCAGCAACCCAGCACCATATATCACAACTGAACTCTCTGGGTGAGAGGTACCCTTTCACGGTCTCGGATGTGGTGCAACGTCCACCTCATCAAATGCTCTTACAAGCATGTCATTTTGCAATCCAAATGATTAGCCGTCAAGCGAATGTTGGGGCTCCGCCGCGCCACACGTGGAAGTTCCTCGAGAACTTGGAATTATTTGAACATCTGTGGAATCTTTTGGACAAATGTGGCATTCCGTCCATGCTAATACCACTTTGCCATTTTACCGATGCAGTGTCCGACACCTCTTCTCCGGTCCTTGCCGGTCGCGCTTTGCTTCTGGAACGGTCGGCTAAGGTTCGGTCGAGGTTGGCTGCGGTCTGGCCGGGAGCGGAGTCCATGGATGATGCTGATACTCGGATCTTATCGCCAGGCCCTTCCAATCAAGCTCCAGGGCTGCCAACCAGCAGTGACTTACAGACACAAACAAGTTATACCAAATTGCGGCCGGCTTCAGGCAGCCGCGGAGACCTTGGCGGATTAGGAGCTGAGGATAGGCCGCCGATGGCCCTTCACCAATATCAGAACATTCCTCGGTATGCAAGTGCCGTGGAACAGTCACAGCAGACTGGGTCGACGTCTATGGATTATGGTGCTATGAGTGTTGATTTGCCAGAAGAGAATAACGAGGCTAGCCTTGGCCCTGATCTGATGACGAAAAAAGCCAACATTTCGGGGTTGGCGACATCTCCGAGCTTCAACGGAGACGAGATTGATGCCTTATTCCACGAAATGGCTCAGCTGGATACAACACAATGGAGCATGGACAGGACCCAGGGACTCAAGGACTTCGGGTTTGCAGATGACACAACATTCGAAGCCTTTTGCAATGATCCAGACCGTCTCATGCTGTCGGATGGATACATGGGTCCAGTTTTTAATAATCATAACAACATTCTCGGTGTTCAAGCTGGGGCATCGACCAGTGACAGCACTCGAATTGGGAAGATGACTTTTGATGACATTTTTCGATGACAAGGGCAAAGGAGGAAAGTGAACCTAACCTAAATCCTGTGGTTGCTCTTGAACACCCATGTGACAATAAGTATTATGGTGACTCAAATGACTCTACTATGATAGTGGATTGGAGTGCCTTTTTGCCATCTCTTCCTCTCATGCGATATGGATTCTGGTGCGGTGTGTACGTAACTTGAACATAGACCAGTACATTTATGGATTCTACGCACCTATACAACAGGAACATAGCAGCAAGGTCCTCGGTGTCTTGGGCGGTCTGTGTATTGTGCAGCCTTGTCCCCCCCCCCCCCCCCCCCAAGCCTTGCGCCTCGAATGCAAGGCTGCAGCTTCGTCACCGAGGTTCTGCCGCAATTTCCACTTTTGCCCTCTGCTTCAGAACAGTTTTCCTTCATCGGCATCCACCGTCTCAAGTCCTTTGGGGTTGCTGGTCACAGCTCCGAATTTTCATGCCTTGTCGAATACGACACCCTTAGCAAGCGCGTGCTGCCCTACCAGCGAGGATATTTCGGAAGCTCCCTTGAGTTTCCACCATCTATCACGAGCTACCCTCCCCCCGGTTCATCTTTCGCCATCCTTCCACTCTCGTCTCTTGTTCTCTGTGTATACTCTACGAACACCCGACAGGATGCCTCCCCGCGGCTCCTCGACAGCAATCAACCCAGTCCGCCTACAGACCGTGTCGCGGTTAAAGATTAGACACCCGGACAAGCAAGAACCGAATCCGTGCCTGGGGCCTATGACTGCGATGTTGAGTATGTCTCTACCTACCGCCTTTCTCTCAGAGATGTTTGGGATGCTTTTGCAGATTTGAAAACCGGTCCGTGCACAAGAGGTGGGATGATAAAGCTCAACTGGGTATAAAAATTGTGGTGGCGCCACGAGTGTAATGCGAAGAGCTGGAGGGACTATATGATACTTGCAATGCATACTAACGTGATTGATCACAGATTGCTGGGCGGCGGGCGCCGCTTCAGGAGGTTGCGGACACCTTGAGAAAGCTCTACGAGACTGCATGGATGCACCGGTACGTCGCGCATATTCCACACTGTTCATTGGCTTCACGACCATTCTCGATATCCCTATGCCGTTGACTGACTTCGTGCGCGGCAGAAACCCCCACCGAAAGGCAAATCCACGATCAACCATCACCTAGGTCGCTTATACCCAATGATCTCTGGACCGAAAAAGAAGACTTGAGAACACAGCGCATTTTAACAGAACAGCTCTATGATGAGCCCTGTCATCCCATGTGTACAATGCTTGCTGGACTTTACGGTAATAGCTCGGTTTGACCAAATGCATCGCGCAGTGCTCGGCTGAGGAGCGCGATGAGGGTTAGAGGGTGGAAATATGCAAGACCTCCTCGAATTGTACAATAAAAGGTTTTCAAAGATATTGACGCAACATCTCCGCTCGTTCCCGCGACGCTGTGGCAGACAGCTTGACGTGGGCGGAAATTAGGTCCAAAGGAAAAGTATATCAGCGTTGCGTGGATTGGACTGGGTCGGGCTGTGTCTACTCTTGCAGATTATAGACCAGGATCTAGGAAGAAGTGAGCGCGGTGTCGATGCGCGTATCTTCAGGGAGAGAGCCTTGGGTTTGATGTCTTCGTCGAGTGTGTCGAGAAAACATCCCAGGAGACTGTACATCACGACCGAGATGTTGTTGTAGACGTTATGCAGCTGCCGATCTCTTCCTGCCTAATCTTGTCGTGTCTTCACAGAATTGACGGTGCCGTCTCTGATCTATTATTGACTGGCCTCATTGAGTGAGCGTGCCAACACTGATATCGACCGTGCCTAGATTGATCTGCTCAACTCGTCGGTAATACAAGGGTGGTGCGCGAGGAAATCCTACCTCGACTCCAATTCTGTGAATCTCTGGGCGCCTGGATGGTGGGCTGGAGGTCAGTAAAAGCAACGGTTCATTCCTCGCTTAAATCGAATGGGAAAGTCGAAGAACTAAATCAAATGCGGCTAGGTCTCACAAGGCTCATGTTGTTCCTTTCAAGCATCTGCGTCCGTTAATCCATTGAGCTTCTTCGTCATCTCCTCGGCATCACGGTAAGCTTCCCAATACTCGCCATCGAACCCATCCACGTCAATCTCCTCCTCCTCAACAGGTTCAACCTCGAGCTCAAATGCCTCATCTTGGTCATCCTCGTCTCCAAGAACTTTCCCTTTGGTATAGGTATAGTCTGGGTACACCTCGATGTAGTTGATTGGGATAGCCTCGTCGCCGTCAACTCTTAACACGGGCATGGAATTGATCAACTGATACTGCGCCGCCCACACCCGTGTCTCTGGATATCTGTTATCACACTTGACAGTAACATCCTGACCGAGCTCGATCGTGGCCCCAATAGGCACTGTGCCGCCCGACAGCGCCGCGACCATGGCCGAGCTGATGCTGAAGCCAACCGAGGGATTCTTCCTAAACACTGTCGTAACAGTGACGTCGCTCAGTTCGAACAATCCCGTCAGACACCAGATATCAGGCTTCGGCCTAAGCCCTGCTTTCGTGAGCAGGTATTTTGTCCGAGAAATTGTCAGCCACCGTTTGAGGTGTTCTTTGACTCCGGGCGCTGCAAGGACCTTTTGCTGAAAGAAGTCTCTGACTTTATGACTGCAACACCCCGGGCATTTGGTTAGCAACAGCAGTGGACCAGTTGAGCAGAAAAAGAGACCATCCCACACACCCTTGAATCTCGACTCGTTTGCCGCTCTTAGCGACGACAATATTGCTCTTCTCCCAGGTCTGCCCTCCTCCAATGCGACCAGTCCCGAAAGCCTCGACCTCGGTTTTGATACTCCATCCTTGTGCGTCGGTGAATGTGCCATACTGTTCGGTTACAGTGGCCCAGGTCGAGAGTTCACTGGGACTTCACCGAGTCAGCGCCCGAACGTCAATCTCTTGACGGCCTGTCAGTACCTTAATGTCGTCATTGGACAATGTGGAACTTGAGTTGGGGTCTTGTAATTGCCAAGCAAAAGATGGCCAAGCTTGAGGTCATGGCCCCGACGGTAAAGATAGTAAGTATCTTCCTCGTGGTATGGCATTGTCAAATTGGGCTGCCAATGGGTTGCTTGTCCGTTTCAGAGGGTAAATGAAGAGGGTCGCTCAGACAGACTCACTCCGTATTTTAACACGAACTAATGTCAAGGCGCGCAATGCAGTCAACAGCCGAAATGGGAACTTTTCTGAACGTTGTCTCTGCCTGGCCCCAAACTCCGAGGCCTTCTCCAGCATTGGGCCGACAAATTCTTGGACTTGAGATATCTATTTCATGGCGTGCAAGAATAAGCGAAGCCAACTTCGTAAATGTCACTACCAGCTGAGTCTGCCTTGTGTTCAGCTCCCTCGCCCTCCGTGTTCCACCTGGCAAATACGAGATGCTTCATGTCGCGACATATGCGATATTTTTGTGGTTGGATCGCTCACAATGCTCCCCCCGCTGGACGATGCAGGGGAGGTCATGACATACGCACCTGCCAAGCTCTCGGCGGCCAAGATAACAACGCGGTGGCTCTCTGCAGGCTTTGTAGCTCGTGTGAATGGCGTCCAATGTCGGCGTCCCGGCGCCGGTCGAGGAACGGCTTATTACAGGAGTTTTCCTCTCGCTCCATGGGCTGCCGATATTGTTGAGTTGCAATTGCGGCAAAAGCCGCTTTGTGTGATGGACTTCAATGAGATATCAACGCTCTTTGGGGGTTCGATATTCGCAGAAGAGTATCGAGGCGACTTCAGACAGATCGAAACGTGCATTCAAGAAATTGAACGATCACAGCCTCGTCCTACACTGGAAGGCCATGCTCGGCAATGTCTTCTGAGGGGGATTTTCGAAACGCTGCGTGGTGAATATGGTCAAAGTCAGGCATGCTTCGACAAGATTCTCGAGCACGAAGCTAGTCTGGATGATAGATGGAAAGTCCGGCTCAGGTTGTATGAACGTCTGAACCTGATTTCCAGGTTGACATTACCTGTCGTTAGGTTTCGATCCAACTTAGGGGGTTCCGCGTCCACGATCCACGAGTGTGAGCTTGGGAATGAAAGCAAGGCTGCCTCTTTAATCCCCATGTATCCAACGACGTCCATCGTGGACAAGTGCGAGTTTCAAGTACTTCAGGAGCTCCACTCCTCATACATCGCAGCTTGGGTATCCGCTTGTTTGCATGCGCGATTTGCCAATGCAGGCTTGAAAGGCGCGGCTGAAAAAAACAAAACGCTTCTTCAGAACACGCCGTCGGCTGAATTATTTAACCTGATCTCCCGTTCGGCATTGTCGCCTGCTCTTGGGTATTGTACACGGTTGAAGTGTGAAATAAGTCCGCGAGATACGCAGGTTCAGCCGGCTGTTGCATTCGCAGAGCTCTATCGCCTCTACCAAACGGATCACGACCTCGTTGGTCTGGCTAGCTACCAGATCATCCTAGGTGACAGGACTGTCTCTCCTCCCTTCACCAGTCCATTGGCGCTGAATATGATTTTGGAAGGTCAATTGTCAGGGTGGGATAATGAAGAATGGGACAAAGTTGAGCCTGCCTTCCGTCTAAAGCAGCACAAGGAAGCAGATGCCCATTACACAAACGCACTTTCCCATGTACAGGGAATTGCTGCGCCCAGAGTGTGCGGGGCGATATCTCTGCGAAGAGCTTGCATTTTGCACATGAGTGCACTCCATGTTATGTCTGAGGGGAATCAGGAAGAGGCAGACGCCTTATTCAGTGATGCGGCAGTTCAACTGTACTCGGCAGAGGACAACTTCTCCTGGGATGAATCTCACTTGCAGCTCGTCGCCTGCCATAAGCTACTGCTCGACATCAGCCGGGGTGACCACCTATGGCTCGAGAGCAGGGCCACCGAGATCGGATCGTGGGGAAAGACTTCTGAGAATACTGCACTAGCTCAAATGCTGGGGTTCATGATGATGAGATTTGGGCGACGGCTCTTCTTTGATCAAGCGAGAGCAGACCTTGCACGACTTTGCATTGACAGCGCCAAAGCTCTTTTTGAAGCCCTTGACGACAAGGTTTACCTCTTGCAATCCAAGCTGGCAGACGCTCAGTTGAAGTATCTCTGCGGGAACTTTACTGCTGCGCAAGTCGCGATCGACACTATTCGCCAGGAGAGCCGAGTCTTCAGATATCTTCAAGAACTTTCATCAAGAGATGCCCACAATGCAAGGGTGCTCGGTATGCCAATTTTGAATCTGCTTACGGGATATAACCGTATTATCTCGACCATTTACGGTTCATCAAACGATGCGAATGCCATCAATAGCTGGCGTGATGAATACCGCGACCTTGGGGAGGAGTTGGGATTGACAGAGATTATTGCGGCTAAACAATGTCTTTCTGACACCGTTGGGAAACAAGTCAACATGTCGGAGGTTCTAAAAGAAACAGAAGCAGCATGCAATTTGAAGGATTTATATGATGATTACATGACCCAGGGCCTGGCCAAACTTGATGAAGCTGATCTGGACGGTTTCAACACGTGCATGGAGGAATACCTTGAGCGGAGCGCCACAGTCTCTCGCGCGGAATATACTCGACTGATCCACCACGTTATCGTACATACTTTACTTGAAAGGTATGAAAAGGCTCGCCAGCTCGTTCCACACGCGATCTCGTCCATATTCGGTGGCTGCGCGAATAACTTGGTCGACTTAGAGTTGCGCGAAGTGCAGTTTGAGGGTCTTTCAATTTCCAATAAGGTGAAAATCGACTTCAACGCAGCAGACCTGGCCATCTCATTGTGTTATCTTTCACATGACTGGACCAGGGGTCTCGAAATTCTCCTCCAGGTTGAACAAGTATTTCCTGACCAGCTCAATTCCGACCATCCCGATATGGACCGCACGGAGTGGAAGTTCGGCGTCTGCGTGGCGGCCATATGGGAACATAATCATAACGTGGACAAAGCCTTTTCCTGGTATCTCTGGTCGTACAGATCATTGCAGACGCAAAGGAGACATGTGGAAGATCCTGATGCAAGGCGAGGTATGGGATGGTCGATCCATAGTTCAAACTTGTTTGCCGGCCTCGTCCGAGTGGCGTTGAAGTTTTGGCGACAGCAAACTACCACCTTTTCGGAACAGAAGAGTCCATCGGATTGGGGCTTGACGGGTGCAGACTGGCTTACTCAGGCACTTTTGTTTACAGAAGACTCATTTGCCCGGACGCTGTTGGAGCTGATCATCGTCAACGATGAGGCGAGTGTTGAGGACCTTGATCGCTGGTCGACTAAATCTTTTCTGAACCGACAGATCAACGATCTCAAATCGGTCGAACGAACGGCACGGAAGGAGCTGAGGTCTCTTGAGCAAGAATGTTTCTTGGCAAAGAGACAACGGAGGAATGCTCTGAATCCGACTCTTGAAAAGAGGCGCAAAGTCGTGGAACGTATTGAGAGAGAAATCAAACAATATGAACATGAGCTGAAAGAGCTTGATGGACAAGGGAGCGGGGCCGAGCTCTCCGTATCTATTTCAAACGCTTCGAAGGCACTCCTGTTAGCATCACATTATCGGCTGGATATACCGACAATCTTTACCGCAGTTCCTCCTAATACTGCTGTGATCGAGCTGAATACTTCCCGCGGTGGGCTGATCATCCTCGGAATCACACAGAAAGGCGTTGAGGTAGTTCACGAAGACCCTACCAATGAGCTCGAACTACGCAGGATGGTTTTGCCCTACGTGAAGGCTCTACGAAGCGGAGGCGTGGGCCTCGGTGAAACCAGCCTCATCAACAAATTGGTCCGTCTCTCGGAACTGGTGATTGATCCGCTTAATGAACTGCTCCCGCGGGTCGAGCACGTTGTCTTCGTGCCTTCTTCGACATTCATTTCTTTCCCCTTCGGATGTCTGTTCTACCAAAAGGAGCCGTTAATTCTTGCCAAAGCTGTCTCACAAGTTCCCAGTATTGCCGTGCTGGAGCGACTGGTCAGGCTGGATGAAGGGCGAGCAAGATCAACCATGGCAGCGTCCAAGCTTATGACGATCGTCAACTCTCACCAGCAAACCAACAGTGAAGCAGCCCCGGTGGTGCTTGGAGCACTAGGCCTGTATCGACTCTTTAAGACCCCGCCTCTTGCGGCAGAGGCAGTTGACGAATCCAAATTTGCAAGAGAGTACGAAGACGCGACTATTGTCCACATCGGCACACATGGCCATCAGTCCCCGCTATCACCATGGCAATCCTACCTCTCATTGGCCAATCAATTCACGGTAATGGAGCTTGCCAAATTGAAGACGCACGCCTCACTAGTCGTCTTTTGTGCCTGTCTGTCTGGACTCGGAAAAGTGACCAATGGTAACGACGTGCTTGGTTTCTCTCATGCCGTCTTGCAATCCGGTGCGCAGGTTTACATGGGGGCGTTGTGGAAGGTCAGCCAAGTCGAAACGCTGATGTTGTTGACGCTGTTTTACAGGAGGATCGCGGCACAACAGGACGGCATCTCGATTGCGAAAGCATGGCAGTACGCCCAAATCACACTTTACAATATGACGAAAGCGGAAGGCTTGAACTTTTTGGAGGAGATCATGACGGACTGGGATTATGCGGAGCGAGCCGGCATTAGTGTTGCGAGCTTTTTGAAGGGTGGTAAAAGGACCCTCCGGATCCCTATCGACAATAAAAAGCGTGAGTGGGAAGAACAGCCATTTAAGAACCCGTACTACTGGGCCTCATTCTCGCTCATTGGACATGCCGGTCTTTCTCTGCGGTGGTGCGCAGATTCTGGTCTGGCTGACAGGTAGAGATTCGGGGGTGATTGAGCAATTGGCGCTGACGAAGTCTCTGGCCGGACTGCGCGCTCAGAAGCGGGACCTGGCCAGAGTCTCATGAAATTGGTAAATGGACATATCGTGTGTATATGTGCAAGTAGTGACCGTTGAGCCTCCATCGCGTCCGCCTGCAGGCGGCACCGGCAATCCCACACCCAAGACACATGTAGAAATATCCATGATTGCACGAGCAACAGTCTAGCCTTTCGGGTCAGCAGCGTACTTTGTCACCAAGACTGGGGCATTGATTTTTCTTACGCAGGTAGACAGTGCCGAGTGCGCCGTGGCAGCTCCCACAAAATACCATCGTGTTGGGCGCCAAGTCTTCGATTCTGTGGTGACAGTTACCTTGATCACGCACTTGGCAGTATTGAACGAGTTGATGTTGAGCATTGTCGCAGTGTGCCCCTTGTCCATGGACGCATCGCGAACATATGGAAAATTGACCGCCCCAGCATTCACGACACCCTGGTAGAGAAAAACCAGATCAGTTAGTACGTGCCCGTCGATCACCACCTCGAGAGGGGAGACAATGTGATACTAACTGTAATACCGCTCGTTCTGCTTGACCGGCAGATAGCAGTTGTTACAACAAATTGTGTCGATTCGCGCATTAAATCGATAGAGATTCGGGTTGGCATTTCGCGCGGCCTGTAGAAGAGCCAATTCTTTGTTCACTCTGTCACAGTGTTGCCGCCAAAACGCCCATCGATTCTGGTCTTGTTGATTCCGTGACTGATGGCTCATGGCCGTGAGTTTACGATCGAGGATCTCGAGCTGTTCGGACTGGCGGCACTCAATCTGTGCCGCCTCCTCCATGACACGATCCATGTTTTGCAGCTGTGTTTGGTAGATGGCAATGTCCTCTTCTTGTGCCGCCTGGATCTGGTGTTCGCTCTGGCGGCGTTGTTCGTTCTCTAGTGTCAGGCGCCGTTGGAGGTCCTCAGCGATGTATGCTTCGAATTGTTCAATGCATTCCTGCTTCTGACGCTCGTGCTCTGTCCGGACTCTTTCGATGTCTTCCGCCGCGCAAGCTCTTTGTTCTGAAGGTACAATTGATGGCTCGATAGGAGCCTCGGAGCGTGAAGGCCGAGACCTGCTGTGGGCTATGATATCGAGAACTAACGACAGGCATCCTTGTCTGGTGTCTGGGATCCGCCGGATCTGAGCACCCTGTCGGACCATGGAGCCCCAGAACTTATCCGTGCTCACCAGTTCTTCTTCTCTCTTCTCCCCTATTTGTTGAATGTTTGCCGTCCCACTCAAGCAGCTCCAAAACGTGGTTGCTAGGACGAGATTCTGCAGGGAACCTTTGAATAAGTCGGAGAACATGAGCAAATTTGTATGAGCGCTCCGCGGGAATCGTGGCTGGATGATTTGATGAAAGTAGAATATGAATGTTTCGTTGCCTTGGGGATAATATGGCGACTTGAGGAGTTGTAGTGCATGTTGGAAGATGTTCATATTTGATGAATAGTCATCGTTGAGGCCTGGAGTGTCGATAACGGTGCACGCCCAGTCCCTCAGGCTGGTTTCATAGATGGAGATATGATCTGTACCTGCGTCTCGTTCAGATTCTTCTTTCTATTCATAATACTACTAATGGGCAAGCTGTTGAAGGGCGATTACCTGATTCGAGGCCGTGAGAAACTCGGATGGATGGGTCACCGGTCAACAATCTGGCAAATGTACTTTTACCCGACCCTGTCTCGCCGAGAAGCAGAACAACAAATATTTGGTCCATGGCAAGGACTTCTTTCCAAGCATCAAGTTGCCTCACGAGATCGAGTGGTTATCGAGCACTTTGAATTGCACATTGAGCTCGCTCGTTATGGGCGAGAGAAAGTATGCTAAGGCACATAGACTACCCATACACTGTACGATAAAACTATGCAAGGTAGATCGTATTGCTTGGTGCTCGCCGGATGCTGGCCCTCCCCGAGGACTTCCTTCTGGCGGTGCGCCAAAAACCTGGGCAAAAGAGCACCCTCAACTGCAGCGGAAATATGTCGAAGTAGGGGCCATTTTATGTGGAGCAAGTATTAACGATCAGGCGACCAATCACAAGTTGCTGTCATTCTATGCCTACCCGCCAAGACTGAGCGCTTTGCCATTTTCGCAAGCCCGGCAGGTGTTACAAGGCTGGGCAACCAGGGGGTGGATCAACGCATGTGATACAGATCAACGTAAAATTGAATACGGGCAGTAAACCTCGCATGCAGCTGGCCACGGACCTTTTCTAAGGCGTACCACTCACTCGTATAGCCCTTTCCTTCTGGCAAGGGCGCTTGCTTCCCAATATATCGCTCTATCAGGGGAGAGACCTGCTCAAAGTTTTGGCATTTTTCAGCCCTTGTATGCACGGGTCGTCCAATCAGTCGCCATACCCTTCATTTGGCCCGATATTGCAGGACTTGGAAGGTTTCATTATCTCGAGTCTCACTGTGCAACCTGTTCCCAGTAGGAAACACGTCTGAGATGCGGGGCTCAAAGCCAACCTCGAATACTTGGAAAATGGTCAGTGTGAGGCTGAATCTCTCATGTTCCTGCCACAACCGGAACAATAAATAGGCTCAGTGACTGCTGAATTTGTGAGTCTGCAACCTTCTCCCCTTTGAAACTTGCATCGGGATGGTGACCATGGCGAAGCTCAAATCGACTGATGACGAAGCAGTGCGAGACCACGAGGAGTTGGCCAACTCGCTACGACTGCCTCCTGTAAAGGATGAGTCTGAGTCTGATGACGAAGCTAATGACGAGATCAACAGCTCGTCAAATGGAAAAGGGTAACTTTATGCACCTTCACAGCATCAACCTTCCAATATCGCTAATCTCTTGTCAGGATGGAAGAAGTCTGGATCGCTGTCATGGGAGTCACTGGTGCCGGCAAAAGCTCATTTATCCAGCTTTGCACTGGCAAACCACCGGAAGAACTTAAGATTGGACATGGCCTGGAGAGCTGTACGTGCCATAGAGCATCACCGATGAGCCATCGGAGACTAAGTGTGTACAGGCACTACGGTGGTACAGGAGTACAGTTTCATTTGCAAGGATAAAGGGGACAACGCCAGCATCCTAGTCCACTTGATAGACACACCAGGCTTCGATGACACAAACAAGAACGATGCCGAGGTCCTCAGAGATATTGCAAACTGGCTGAACACAACGTATCAAAACAAAATTCTCCTCAGCGGCGTTCTTTATTTACACAGGATCAGCGATCCAAAGATGCAAGGCTCGGCTAGACGAAATCTCTTGATGTTCATGCAGCTCTGTGGGCCTCATTGCTATCAGAACGTCATGCTGGTGACTACAATGTGGTCCATCGTGTCGAATAGAACAGGTGAGGAGAGAGAAAGGGAGCTCGTTGAGAAGTTTTGGGGTACCGTAAGTTTCAGCCTTCCCTGAGTGTATGATGTTTATTACTGAACATCTCGACCTTTTACATGGCGATGATCGGCACTAATCATGGGCTTACGCAGATGAAGAAGCAAGGAAGTTTGGTGCGTCGGCACGAAGGGAACAAGACGTCAGCATTATCAATTCTCGGTGATCTTATCGACAGACGTGAAAAGATTATATTGCAAATCCAACAAGAAATGGTCGAAAACAAAAAGGATCTCAATGAAACAGCAGCCGGACAGCAGCTCGACCAAGACCTTCTCCGAGAGAAGGCCAAGCACAAGAAGGAGATGAGAGAGCTGAAGCAACAGATGGACCAAGCCATCAAGAGCCACGATGAAGTAGCAAAAGCATACATTGCCGACATGCAGAAGGATCTACAAGGTAAAATTGAGGAAGGAGAGAGAGCTAGAGAATCGATCCGGCGGGATTTTGAGAAGCTACAAAAGGAGCGCGAGGAAGAGATGAACAAGATGAAGAACAGGATCAATGACCAGGTCAAGCAGCTCGAAGAAAGCTCGAAAAGGCACAGTGAACTGCAGGCGAAGCTCGACGCGGGTCAGGGCAGCCCTATGCTTAACAAGCAAATGAAAGACTACGAGCAGAAGATTCACTCCTTGGAGATGAAGATAGAGACACAAACGAAGATGATGGAACGACGAAAAGGAGGTAAGTCTCTTTGTAAGGGTTCAGCACTCAGTCTCGGCCGAATCTGACTTTTTGAACTAGGGGTCAGTGCTGAAGTCGGTGAGTGGAGCAAAAGGTTGAAGTATCTTTTTATGACTACCGCTGATTGATTACGAATAGGGAAAATTATCTTTGGGGCGCTTTTGCCCTGGCCCATTAGTGTGGGATATCAATTGGCAAATCTGAGCAAAGGTCATGACCGACAGTGATGTCTGCAGGAATCGAAGGTAATAGCCAGCAAAATCAAAGTACACGCTGGCCTACACGGAGAGCTTTGTCACGGTAGTAAAGCAATTGAAGATAATGAACTGGGAGCGCAGTCAGAGAAGCGAATTTCAGAAGTATGCTGTCTCAAGCAGCAACCACGTCTTATCAATACACCTCTACATCAACGAGACCTTATTCAATTTTCCTTAGCTCTGTGTTATCCTCTCTCTGGAGAAGCCAACATGAAAGCCTCAAGCTTATCCAATAGCTGAATAACCAAATAAAGCTGTCGACCTTTGGTTCGACACCTACCTCCTTCCCTAGGGGTACGTCCCTTCTGGGCTAAGCAACTTCTCAAGGTGTATAGCAGCCATTTGACAGTATGCTAAGACATCTATGCCGGGTGTGGCCGTAGGACTGCTGAAGTGACAAGCATCTCCAGCGTCACTTCTCCGGTATACAACTACAATAACGCCCAGAAAATGGATTTCTTTTTTGAATGTACTTGAGTGAATCTGGGGAGTGGCTGGATAACCATCAGCGATGGAACGGACTATATAACTCAATGTGTAATAGAATACTGTCGCTAAGCCTCCCTTCTTTTCGTGGGAGGAAAGGGTACCCTCAGCGGTATAGAAAAATTAAACACAGCATTCGATTCTCAGAGGCCTCAGAAATGGGCCGTATTTACTGTGATTAATTATAGGTTCTAGTTTGGTTTAGTGGCAGGAAGACGGTGAGCCAAGAGCAGGTGGTTTTAAAAGTGGCCCAGTCCGGGGGAGATCACACAGTGAGGTGTGAGCAGTTTGTTCTCTGCTTGTGCTGCCAAGTGTGCAATGTCTCAACTGCTGTCACCCTTGACCGATCCAGTTGCCCTGGGCAATCCGAAAGGTTCCCGCGAGATCACCGGATTCGCAGGACAGGTGTTCTGCCGCGCCCTGGCAACGCCCCCGTTTCCAATGCTCCCCGGCAGAACTGGTGCATCGGCGAGCTAAAGCCGATGTCGCAGGGTGGATGGGACTTTGGGTTTACTCTGAATTAATGTTTCCCGAAGGGACAGCAAAAATATAGACGATCGTTGGATGGGAGTTCAAAACAGGCTTGACACATCGGCTAGATACATCCGCCGCCTTGACCACCCCATATTTCCCCGACTCCATGCATCGTGGATCCCCCTGACATATACTTGGTAGGCTCTGCTCATGTCGGATGCAGGACTTTTGGAACTGCTTACCAGGTAGGTGCAAAAGCAACCATGGGTTCAATCGACATTCCGAAACAATATACGGTCAAAGACCTATATATCGGCCAAATAGCGAGACCTGTTAAAATCATTGTCATCGGAGCTGGAATATCAGGAATAGCGTTCGCATACAAGGCCAAGGAACTCGAGCAGGTTGAGTATGTAATATATGAAAAGAACGCAGATGTGGGTGGGACGTGGCTAGAGTCGCGATATCCGGGTTGCTCTTGTGACATCCCGGCCCATTCATACAGCTATCCTTGGGTGGGAAACCCAACCTGGTCCAAATTGTGAGTGAGCAGAAAAGTCGTTGATGCATTTGACTAATAATTCCCGACAGCTATGCTGGCGCAGAGGAGATCTGGAAATTCTATCGTGACAGAGCTGAAGAATACGGTGTTTATGAGCATGCAAAATTCAACCATCTCGTGGTTGGGGCAGAGTGGAACGAAGGCTACGGAAAGTGGACAATCAAAGTGGAGGATCTCGAGACTGGCAAGGTAACCGAGGACTCAGCAGACGTTGTTATCAACTGTTGCGGAGCGTTGAAGTAAGTTCCACGGCGTGGCTCTCTCCTGCGACCGTGGACCACCTAACACTACAAGCAGCAAATGGAAATGGCCCGATATTCCTGGACTTCACTCATTCAAGGGAATACTCGTCCACACTGCCCGGTATCCCCAGGACCTTGATCTCAAAGACAAGAGGGTTGCGGTTATTGGCGCCGGTTCGTCTGCCATTCAGGTAGTCCCCACCATCCAACCAAGTAAGCAAACGATCCTCTGGCTCTTGATATGTGGACGGCAACTGAGGCAAGATGACATAGTTGTGAAATCTCTCATCAGTTTTACCCGGTCTCCGACCTGGATTGCACCTCAGTTTGCAGGTCAAATGGCCTCCGACGGACGTGCCACAACGTATACCGAAGAAGAGAAGCAAAAGTTCCTCGAGGATCCAGAACACCTACGGAAGTATCGTCAAGAAATTGATCACCTCATAAATGCTAGGTTTCCCAATTTCTACAAAAATTCTCCTGCTCAAAAGGCCGCGCGGGAGATTGTAGAAAAGCAAATGAGGGAAAGACTTGCAAAAATGGATCCAGAGCTTCGCGAGAAGCTCATTCCGGATTTCGAGGTGGGCTGTCGACGGTGAGCAGGTTTAACCGGTCTCATACCGCTGGCTGCGTGCTTACGACGAACTGTACAGGGTAACCCCTGGGGAGGGCTACCTCGAAGCCCTGCAGGAGGACAATGTTGAAGTTGTCACAACGAAGATTCGAGAGATCAACCCAGAGGGCCTAGTGACTGTCGATGGTAAGGTACATGCAGTCGACGTGGTCATTGCTGCTACAGGCTATGACACATCCTACATTCCTCCATTCCCACTCATCGGAAGACATGGCGTAGATCTCAGAGAACGCTGGTCAAAGACTGGGGCTGAGGCGTACTTCACTTGTGCCGTCCCGGACATGCCAAACTACTTTAGTGAGTCGCCATCTTTTTGCTTTGATTTCCTTCTAAGCTGACCTTGACAATAGTGGTTGTTGGGCCAAACACGCCAATCTCGAACGGATCTCTGATGCCATCCATCGAGGCCCAAATTGAATTCGCCTTGAGCTTTGTGAAGAAGATTCAATGCCAAGGGGTGAAGTCTGTTGTGGTGAGCCGGGAAGCAACAACCGAGTTCAATGACCACAAAGACGCAGTGATGGAGCTTTTGACGTTTTCTGGAAATTGCAACAGCTGGTATGAGTTTAACGATCTCTTCTCCAGTGGACGTCCGGCATTAGAAACACCGTTCTAACTGTTTTTTTCGCGTGCAGGTATAAATGTGGAACAAGCAATGGGAGGATCATTGGACCATGGCCAGGCTCTGTCAATCACTTCCTGGAGTCTGTTAGAGAGCCGCGGTTGCAAGACTTCGAGTTCACTTACAGCAGCCCCAACCGCTTCGAGTACCTCGGAAGCGGTCTCTCCTTGCGCGAGCACAGGAAAGAGCCTTTAGGCTGGTATATCAGGGCATAGGTTCAGCTTTAAATGTTGATGGCTCCAGCCGGTTTAGCGGCTTCGGTTTATCCTGATCGCGGCTATAAAACATTCTGTTATGGCGAATACTTCATTGAAGTACAATAACTTGTCCCTAGTCTCCACTAGCAGCTTAGACCCAGCAGATCAACCTACTCGTAGATATTATGAGAGCTTCCTTGGGGAATACTTCAAATTAGCGTCCTCACTGCTGTTGAGACTCGAGGAGGTTTGATTTGGACTGGTACTTAGCTCCGAGTTCTCCGTGCTTGTAAACCGAGATGGTTGACCCGAACCCAGAACATCGAAAACTCCCTCGTCCATTCTATGAGCATAGTCTGAACGTGAGCCTTACCTGTTTAAAGACGCTCACAGATTGTGTAAAAGCACCAGTCGTTGTGATTCTGTGTAGTGACAGCCTTCCAAATCAGGTTAGGTGGACGGAGCATTCAGGGATATCTTGGCGCTGACCCTCCTGTATTTACACGCAGACAATGCGACGCGAGCAATACTCTTAGGCAAAACATCATACGGTCTCATTATCTGAGCGAGATGGCGCTGTCGGGTCGGATCCCGAAGTCGTGAAGGGTCCTACCTATACCCTAACTTTGAGAAGATCAACACCGTGGCTGAGATCATCGGCTTGTTGGATCCGAAGACCACAATCACAATTTCCCGCGCCATCGCTTGATCAACCCGGCTCTGCCTCTCGCAATGTCATTCGCGGTGCCATTCCGGTTTATACGCTATGCAGTCGGAAGTGCAGAGGAGAATTCAGCTTCCTGACCCCTGGCCGCAGTTGGGTCAAGTTTGCGCAACATCCACAAGGGTCTTTCGGCATGGTAGAGTTCATCCACACATGTTCGTTCGACCCTATAGACATCGAGTCTAGTAAAAGTTCCGACACCACTTGCCGGCATATATGCGATGAAAACAAGAAGATTAATAACAGTACCCAGGATAATCTGAAAGTGAGTCTGCTGCATTTTGATCTTACAACACAGCTAAGCTTCAAGGTGAATCTCAATCTCTATGGCGCACATCTTCGAGTTAGCGAAGACTCTGTCGCCATCTCTCAACTACGACAAGGGATTAAAGGCCAGCGACCAAGTCAAGTTTCCCGCGACTGAGGTGTTCAGAGGATTCAACAGTCCTTCCCGCATCGAAGGAGACGTGGAGAACCTCGAAGTCACTGGACAGATTCCACCAGACATCGATGGGACCTTTTTTCGAATCCAACCCGACCATCGATTCCCGCCCATTTACGAGTCTGACATCCACTTCAACGGAGACGGCAATGTAACAGCGATACGTATCTGCAACGGCCGTGCGCACTTTAAGCAGCGCTACGTGCACACCGATCGATTCATACAGGAAAGCCAACACGGAAAAGCTCTGTTTGGAAAGTATCGCAATCCGTATACAGACAATGAAGCGGTAAAGGGTGTGATTCGAACCGCTGCCAACACTAATGTCTTCTTCTGGAGGGGGATGTTGCTGGCCACGAAAGAAGATGGCCCTCCTTATGCCATGGAGCCATCCACCCTGGAGACCATTGGAAGGTATGATTTCGAAGGCCAGGTGCTAAGCCCAACGTTTACGGCGCATCCCAAGTTCGACCCGAAGACGGGGGAGATGGTTTGTTACGGATATGAGGTAAATTACAATCACTAACTCTTTTTGAGACGAGCGTGTTTTGAATCGTATATTATACAGGCTGGTGGAGACGGAAATGACGGATCATGCGATATAGTGGTGTACACCATTGATGCTAACGGCGTGAAAACGGAGGAATGTTGGTACAAAGCTCCTTTCTGCGGCATTATTCATGATTGTGGAATCAGTGACAACTGGATCGTGTTGCCAATGACACCACTTAAATGTGACCCTGAGCTATTGAAGCAATGTGGCAATCACTGGGCGTGGGATCCAAATGAGGACCAGTTGTATGGCTTGGCCCCGCGAAGAGGAGGCAAACCAACGGACATCAAGTGGTTTCGATCGAAGAACGGTAAGCCATACCAGGAAACTTTTTCCTGAAGAGATTTGGCCCTGATACAATCACGCAGCATTCCAAGGCCACACCGTAGGCTGCTACGAGACCTCGGATGGCAAAGTCGTATTCGACCTGACGGTCGCTGATGGCAATGTCTTTTTTTTCTGGCCACCTGTCGATACACCCGCAGGAACCGTGGCTGTGCGCAATAAAGTACGGAACAAAACAACGCGCTGGATTTTTGACCCGGGGATGGCAGGGCCAAACTACTGGATTGAGCCTGTGGAAGAGATCGATGCGTACTCGGGCGAGTTCTCTCGCATCGACGATCGCTTCGTGACCATGGAATACAACCACTACTGGCAAGCTGTGATTGACAACGCCAAGCCGTACGACTTTGCGAAATGTGGCTCCCCCGCGGGTGGGCTCTTCAACACCCTGGGGCACTTCACCTGGGACAAGTCGATCACCGAGACATTCTGGGCCGGACCGTGTGCGACGTTCCAAGAACCAGCTTTCATTGCGCGAACGAATTCGACACGCGAAGGAGACGGCTACGTGGTGGCGCTGCTCAATCATCTTGACGTTCTCAGGAACGACGTGTGTGTCTTTGACGCGCAGAATATCAAACAGGGCCCAGTGGCCGTGATTCATCTGCCCTTCAAACTCCGCCTGGGCCTGCACGGGAACTTCGTGGAGGAAAGAGAGGTCCGAGCATGGAGAGACAAAAGGGACCAAGAATTGGGGGCGGTGGAGCCAGCGCAGTCACCTTTGCCATGGCAAAAAGATATGGTAGGGATGAATGATGTCGGCGATCCGAATGGCCATAGCTGACTATAGCTTTTCTTTAAATATATCAAAACAATTCTACCGTGAGAATAAACCACTGTGTAATCTGAGAATTCCAAGTGTGCATTATAGTCCCTCTTCCCTGGAGCCTGTGCAGACCTGCTAAACAAGAGGATTACATTTCGTTGCTTCTTTTCCGAGGAACCATACAATGTGCGTAGAAAGCATTCATACAGGCATTTCCCCACCTTCGACAAAACCAAAATGCGTGTGGATGATCGAAATTCTTTACACCTCATCTTCTTCTACCGCCCCGCCCGTGCATGAACTACACCGGGGGCATGCCGAACATGGAGATAGGGGCTGTTGAAGTCGTATCGTCGAACACACCCAGCAAGTCTGAATGACAATCAAGGTCAAACATTTCATAGGCGCTAAATTGAGAGCCACTGATGTCACTAGTATATGGTAATTCATCAATCCAGAGTCCCCCATTGGAAAATGGTAAAAACATCAGAGTGTAGGTGTGGACTTACAAGTCAAAGAAATCAAGCGACTCTTCCAGGGCTTGAGAGGGTGGCGGCGGAGGGGAAGTCTGCATCGTTATGCTGGCGTCGACGCTGCTGGCCCTTTGATCGTTTTGGGGAGGCATTTGTTCTGTAGCAAGTGTCTGGTGTGAGTATGTCAGAATGGGTGCCGGATTGTCCAGGGCACCGCTCTCTTGGACCCGTGCTTCTAAATCGGGCAAGACTTTGCCACACCAACCCACTTGATCCATGCTCTTGAGAGTTTCCAGACAAAACCTGATGATCTGTTGATGCTCGGCGCTGCCTAGTTTCTGGAATGCAAGTATCAGGATCCACATCACCTCTCCGATGGAGTGACAGTCAAAGAGGGTCATGCTCGACAAGACGTCGGCCTCTTTCATGTGCTTCAGGACTTCCACAGCCCTCTCGGCTGCCTGGATGCACCTGGCACTCAACTCCTCATAGCATTTTCGTTTCGCGGGCACCGTGATCTGGGAAGGCTTCGCGACCAGGAACAGCAGGAAAGGCCGCGTGATGAAGATGACCGAGATCCAGTACCGCAGGTGTAGCACTGCGACCGCTCGTCGATGTTGGGGCGGAAGAGAAGACTTCCAGTGGAGATATGAAGGGACGCCCTCCAACCACCTCCGCTGACGGGCTAAACTGTTGAACACGCGGCTTATCGGTAACCGGCCGCCAGCTTGTGCCGGTTCAAGGAAGCAGTCGTAACTGATCTTCTTTCTCACCTTCACCAGGCTCACAAACAGAGCCTGATAACCCAGAGGCATATTGGGGCCCGGGTCTAACACCTATTATCGCAACCGTGAGCAATTCATTTGTGAACATAGGCCCAGCTGCCCTTTAACCTACCTGTTCAGACGCTGGTGGGATATTCATGAAAATCGCCTCGTCAACGATCGCGCACGGATAGCCCAGACGAATTGAGATTTCATGGTCCAGGGTGTAGATTGTCCACCATAACCGTCTGCATCTCTCCCTTTCGATCAGATCCTTTGTCCTCGAGCACATGTCTCTATGCAGTCCGAGTGAGAAAGCAATCTTGACCGCCGCTCCCACGTTGAGGTATGCAGCCATACTGTAACACGAGCCATGCATTGCTAAGCCCTATATGCGACTCAGGTTAGATCATACCCGACCCGTGTATTTCCAATAGGGTATCCACTCACCAACAGTCCGAAAGCCTTGATGGTCTCGAGATCGGCTTCGTCCGCAGCGGCGGATGACTGGCCCTTTGCCATGGCGAGATAATCTGCTGTCTGCTTGCAATCCTGAGGTGTTGTTGCCGTGCCAAATCCTACAGCATATTTACCCGATCGCATACTCCCTAGAGCAAATATTGAATATAGCGAACACAGCCACGATGCTGTTGCTGTCGTCCCCCGATCATTCAAGGTAGCCTCAAGGAGCGGATAAAATTGTTCGGGCGAGTAGAACCAGTACAGGCAATGGATATGCTCAAAGAAGCGTGTCACATAGTGTATACAGAGCTGGCGACACGGGAAGTAGATCTCTGCAGCAGTCCGGGCGGTGCTTGTGCTCTCTGGCGTCAAGGGCGGTAGCAACCCTGTTTTCAATGGTGATACGACCTTCGGGTCCAGATGGATTGAGGAGCTCGCGCATGCCATTCGAGCAGCATGGTTCCAACGAATCGACGACTCTGCGCCAACGTAACCTTCCAAATCGTGAGCGACGTACTGTCTTTTCAGGGCCCGACCGCGGATGGCGATACGCACGATATTTGCCAAGGGAATCCAGGATCATGGATCCCAAGTCTTCTTGCAGGAGTGGATGTTCATCCCTCTCCACAACCTCTTGGATCTCGCCAGCAGCAGGCTGAGGATCATCAGCCCCATTACGTTCAACTTCTGTTGAAGGTGTCTCTGTTACAAGGGGTTTGGAGCGCATTTCCGCATTGGCCAGGACTCTCTGGATGTTTTCCACTGTCAAGTCAGGCAGCTCCTCTTCCGACACGAAGCGGCGAAGCAGTTTGATGGAATGATCGAAGACATCGCTGGAAACCCTATAAAATGGCCGTTTCCTACCGTTCGGATTGAACTCGCACGGTATATTCAGTGTCTTGCAGTATTGACAACTCTCTCCAACTGTTCGTTCACAGCGTGTTTTGTTAGATCATCAGACAATGGTACCTAGTCAAGTGCTGCATTTGGACGTACCGCTACCCACACACTTGTTTCGATGTCAGCATGGCGTCCACACATGCATATCTCCTGGCAGGCAAAAGTCTCTCTCACCCGTGTTTTACGCGCCTTGCAGGTATTGCAGCTCTGGCGCGCCCGCTTTCTAGGTCGGTCATTTGGAAGTGGGAGCCCTCTCTCCGAATGCTCTAATCTCTCAGCGTCTCCTGGGCGCATCTCTAATATTGCCGCTAAGTTAACTCAAGCTGTCCAAGAAGGATACAACATGCCGGAGGGATATATGACGAGTCTAGGAGCAGGAGCAAAAAGCCGAACCACGTCCCCAAGTTTATCTTCCCCTCTCGATCCCCGGATTTCCGCTTCGGCAACGTGCATCCGACACTTGTCCAAAATGCCCAAAACCCAGACCTCGGCTCTAACTAGAGGCTTTTCGCGACCTTTGCCTCGAAAATCAAACGCAACGGTTTCACGCCCACTGTGAAATGATCCAGAGTCCCTTCCAGCAGCGCCCTGCCATCCTCACCAGGCGCGAACTTGACACCCTCGAAGGCGTGGATGAAATAGGTGATCAAGTCGCGCATCTCCATAATCGCTAGGGCTCTCCCAATGCACCCGTTCATTCCTGTTGTTATTTCGTCAACCATTTTCATGGTGTCTCGGATTCAGGCATATCCTTACCAATATTCCATGTCAAGAAAGCTTCAGGGTTCTTGATCAACTCCGGTTTCGAATACCAGCGCTCTGGAATAAACTCGTCTGCCAAGACATAGTTGAGCTCGTCGTGCTGCATTGCATATGGCGGAAGGACGACGGTGGTTCCTCCGGGGATAGAGACCTCGTTGATGGTAATACCTTCTGGCGGAGTAACGCGTGGAAAGCCAGAAGGAATAGCCGGGTGCAGACGTAGGGCTTCGTGGATTACTCCGTTGAGATGGTGGGCCTTGGACACGTCCTTTGAATCCAAATGGGGCTTGCCTCTCAGCAACGGCTCCAGCTCACTACGCAGCTTCTGCACTTGTTTTGGATCTTTGGCCAAATAATGGAAGAGAAAAGTCAGCGTTGCAGCTGTCGTATCAGAGCCGCCTACGATGGTAAGTCTGGTGTCGCCACGCAACCACTGATAGTCGATATCTCTCTTCTCAGTGCGGTCATAAACATCCACAAGATGCGACAGAATCTGAGGACAAGGTCAGCCCTTACATTACGCGGCGTGGAGGGGGCCGCACATCATTCCTGGCTGACGTTTTTTGCGTCCTCTCTTTAACCTGCGATCCAACAAAGTCCAACCAAGCCCTCGCACCGTGCCCTGCGCGAGGCAGTCTGTGTAGGATCGGCGCAAGCCAGGGGACAGGCGTTGTTGGGCCGACGTCTGCCATGCTGGTCTCGAGAAGCTCGGGGATCCAGCGATTTGTCGGCGAAGTCATCATGTGGAACTCTTTTCCAAGGCCGAGGTCACCCATGACATCGAATGCTTCGAATCGTCAGCAAATAGACGGGGCTCTCGACTGACGCGCCAGCCTTACCAAAGTATTTGAACCACTGAGAAACGTCGACTGGTCTTCCTGCCAGGCGCTTCATCTGCCTTACAAACTCCTCGCAGTGCACGACCACTCTTTCTTCATAGTCTCGCAACGCCGAGGGAGAAAACGCCTTTGAGAAGACTTTCCTGCGAGCATCGTGCACAGTTTTGCTTCGAACGGTATGTAAGTTCACTAGTGGCAGAGATCGATCGTACCATGGGCTCTTGATACACTTTGATTCGTTGCTCAGAACGATCGGTATTGCCGCTGGATCGTTGATGGACAAGTTACCGGGACCTTTCAGTCTTCTCATGAGCAATAATGTTCCTCCTGAATTTCAGCTACCTCTCCACTTACCTGTCCGGACAATCGGCCCATATCGCTCATGTAACTTCTGAATAACCAGATAATTGTCGGAATTCCGAATCAGATACGAGTGATAGAGATTCGACAATCGTGCCCAGTACGGGCCTGGGAACCTTCGTAATGGGTGGAAAAGGCCGCGGTACAGCCCTATGCTGAGGTAAAGGCCAGCAAAATAACAAGTGCTGAGGACAATTGTCGTGATGACCGTGAAGATCAGTCGATAATGCGTCAACTGGAAGACCACAACGGCAAGCAGACCAATTGCTGCAAGTGCTCGGGGAATCCATAGATGTGCATTTTTGTGATGCTCGCCGCGGATAAAATATAGGAGATGAGTCAAGACCCCAGCAGCGGCAGCAAGTGCACACGAAGCTGACAAGCATTTCATTCTTCCTGGGAGTGGCGTGTTGTCTTTTGCTGCAGGAGGGTTGTTGGAATGAAATTGCCCTCCTGTGCGGAGTCAAAACATCTTTCTTTACATCTGGTGATGCTTAGGGCCACCATATCCTCGTGGCATTTTGAGGTCATTTGTCCGGCTTCGGCAGCATGCAGGGCCTTGACAGTAACGGGATTCCGATAAACGACAGACAGGCTGACAGTGCGGGCCTATACAGCCGCGTAAGTCATGGTGGATGTCTATCAATTAATACGGATATATCGATCCGAGACAGGGCAAGAGTCAAGACAGTCGTCAGCATGTGGCCCTCACAATCGAAGCTTGAGACGCCTATGGACCGGAACGGAATTTCTTGAGGGAATCCGGTCAAGTGGAGTCGCACTGACTCACTGACGCGATTATTAGTACACCAGAGGCATATCCCACCTGGGTTAGTTCGATGGTCGTCCTTCAAATGCAAGGGGAGGATCGAGCCCCGGGTGAGAGTCGGTAAGACGCCTGGCCAGTCCGTTGAATGGGAAAAGATGGTGGTCTACTATTCTTCAAACGTTCATATCCCTCAACTCTGTTGGGAAGCGATAGCATGGGGAACCCCTCGAGCTATCGGTTCAAAAAGCGCTAGAAGCATTTCAGATGGACTCTTCTGGTGAACATCAGTTGGAGGTACCACGGTTATTGCAAAGGGCGAGTGTTCAAGACCATATTCTTCAATGATAGCGTAGGATAGCTCTATGTCGACTAACAGTCTAAAACATGAGGACGGGTTGATTCCATCCATCAATCGGTTTTCCAATTGTCAGGTCCTTCATAGCAACGACAACATCTCCACCATTCTTCAAGCCATTTGTGACCATACCACCATTAACCATCTCCAGATCCTTCTTTCCTCTATAAGTCTGAGGCCAAATCCCTTGCTTCCCAGGGCTCAAAATTCCATTGGGATCCAAAGCATCTTTAATTCGCTCATTCAACTTCATCAGGCTGCCGCCGTTGAAGTCGTACTGTTCGGCAACGAGATCCATGTAGTCGATATGAGCCCTATATTCACTGAACCCCTGCTGCCGAGCGAGGTAAACTAATTCAACAAACAGCTGCTGTGCATTCTGCCGCTCGGCGTGCGACTGTCTGTCGAAGTAGATCATGTCAATCATCGTCAGATGACGAGCGTATAGGTGTAGACCTCCGAAGTAGTCAAAGCCGTATTTGGCACAAAGGGACTTGGCGGCATAGTAGAAGGAAAGGGCTGTCTTGCCGTCGGGAGGCAAGACGGGGGAGAAAGAGATATGTCCGCTGGTGGAAGTTAGTAGGTCTCCAATAATTGGAGGCGGATGAGGGTTAGGGAGGTGTTAGCCGGGAATAGTGGATTGCATACCCATCGTTGCCACGATATTCGACAGCTTTCAAGGCCATCATACTGGGGGTTCCAGTCTCAACTGTCCGCTCTTCGTGTGGAAGATCCTCCGGGCTTAAGAAGGTTCTCCCTTCCGAAGGATAGAATGCCCTGCCGGTGAGTTTTGCGCCAGGAAGGTTGTCAAAGACCTCTTGACATCTTTTGTAGTTTGGTTCAATGATCTCTTTCGGTCCATAAAGTGCAAACCTTGCAGACCAATATCCGATTCCCAACTCGTGCTGTATCTCCTTCAGCCTCGCATCCGGAATTGCATCGTTACCTTGGTAAAATTTTTCGCGGCCTCCACGTTTGACAATTTCTCTTGGGATATTCCCTATCAGAGGGTGATTCTGAATCGCATCGCGAAGTAACAGGCCGCGGAAAGCGTCGATCATAGGCGCCAGCCCTTCTTCATCCGCAATGTCTACCCGACATGCCATGAAGCCCTGAGGGCTGGGCGAGGCCCAGAGGCTAAGCTTCGTGACTATACCAAAGTTGCTTTGGCTGAACATTGATTCGTACGTGGGTCCGTAACCGCCTCGAAAAAGAGGCCAGCAGGGTGATTCATTCAGCGCGCCCGCGCCTGTTCGGACAAGCGTTCCATCTGCGAGAAGAACCTCGATTCCGCAGATCTGATTCGAATGGTCACCTGGTGCTTATAAGCAACAAACCCAATGTCATCCTCTGGGTTCCTGCATTACCGGCCGGCGTATATCCCCATCCTCTATCCAAGGCGTTGCCGACAATAGAACCCCAGCCCAGGGCAGGGACAGAACACCAAATAGTTTTCTTCTGATCTTGGATGGCTCTGTAGATATCGAAAAAAGTTACTCCGGGCTCAACCGTGTAATACGAGTACTTGTCATTAATCTCGATGATTTTCCGCATTCGCTGGAGGTCAAGTATCATCGAACCCTGCATATTGATCCATCAGACCGACGACACCTGAGTCCCCTGACAGATATGCGGCTTACTCTGACTCTGGCTGCAGGGCCGCCGTAACCCAAATTCTTTCCTCTAGAGACTGTCCACAGTGGAATTTGGTGCTTGTTGCAGATTCTCAGGATAGCCTGGATTTCTTCAACCGTCACAGGAAGAAGAGTGGCCGCGCTCCCTCGCCTCTCCTGCTCATCATGCTCTTCTGCATATGGATCAACGTAGCGGATGCGTTGCTCATGGCCCACTAATACGCCATCGTTCCCAAGGATGGTTCTGAACTCTGCGAGTACGGACATCCATGTGGTGAAGTCGAGGGAGGGGGGTAGGATCTCAATAGTTGGCGTTCGTTCGGCGGTCCTTTTCCAAGTGTCAAGAACGGCATTAGCCATGTCATTCTGCCTTTGCTCCAAGGCCAGTGCGAACGGTTGTTGGGCCGCCATCGTGAACTAGTAATAGTCCAACAAAACCTCGGTGAGTCTGCAGAGCTTTCATTCTTCAACCGCTTGTTTATCAACGCTGGATGATATGCATACAAACAGAGGAATATACTGCCACGTCCTATCAAATCTCGGTCTGTCGGAAAGGGATGTTGAACTCGCTTCCGATGGCTTGGTTTGCTTCTTGGACCATCGCTTCAATGTTTCCGAGATCCAATTAGATTCGCCGGGTATCTCGGCCATGGGGTGCGCCTTCGGGATCATGAATCCCAGTCCAGCAGTGCAGTGAGAATTTGGCTTCTATCTCCACGTTTGTTGCAGGAATCGCCCCGTGGGGACTAGTTCCTCTTCCCCAGATTCAGCAGTCACACTACATAAAGATGGACAGCTCCCTGGTTCTTACACAAAGCAGACCAAATCACACCACAAATCCTCTGAGGCAAGTCGAGCTCCATCCGGCATCATCTTCCCGCCATGCCTCCAGCATCAGTCACCAATGTCCGAACCAGCCTTGAGGACGGAGCGGTAAGAGAGGGCGTCCGCAACACCGGCCTCCTGGCCAACTGGCGTATTTTGGCCGTGACGTTGTACATGGGCATCTCACTCTTTGAATATGGATTCGACAAAGGGGCCATTGCCGGCTTCCAGGCAATGCCAGGATTCCTCCAGGTCTTTGGGTACCAGACCGCCTCAGGGGCATGGCACATTCATGTATGAACCTCCCGTTTTAATGCATTTCCTCACTGACGAGTATTCCAGACCGGCCCTCAGCAAATCATCTCTTCGTTCATGATCCTGGGCAGCTTTGTCGGGTCCATACTGACCGGCCCTATTGGCGCCCACCTCTGCCGTCGTTACTCCCTAATAATGGGTTGCCTGCTCATGATAGTGTGCATCGTGGTCCAGGCTCTCACAACCTCGATGGGTGCGCTCTACTTCATCCGATTTTTGACAGGTGTCGCCAATGGCTTCTTGCTCAACTTTTCCATGGTCTATTTGCAAGAATCCGCCCCTCCCCACCTCCGCGGTGTCTGCTTTGGTGTTGTGACGAGCTGGATTGTTATCGGAACTACTATTGGAATGGTTCGTATTTTCCAGCCATGAATCTTTTCGAGATCTGCTAAACCGACTCGATCAGGTTATCAACAACGCGACCGCCGACTTGATGAGTCGGAAGGCCTATCAAATTCCGCTCTATATTTGCTTTGTTCCTCTAGTCATCCTTATTTTCACTCTACCCTTGCTTCCGGAGTCCCCCCGTTGGCTTCTTCACCATCACCGCCCAGAAGAAGCACTGCGCAGCTTACGCTTCTTCCGCAAGGGCGCCTACGACGAGTTGGCCTTGAACCAGGAATTCGAAGCGATGAAGGAGATTGCAGATCGAGAGGCCGAGTCCCAGAAAGACTGGCGCCTCATTTTCGAGCTCTTCCGTGGACACAATCTACGAAGGACGATTATTTGCGTCGGTGTTGGAACCGCCAACGCCGGTGTTGGCGCCATGTTTATTCTGGCCTTTGGCACTTATTTCATTAAGATGGTGAGATGACAAGCATCAAGACTTCTTTGACGCGGCTAACTGAATGGTCAGGCGGATGTTGGTGATCCTTTTAAAATGATCATCGTCACGAACTGCGTTGGTCTTACTGGACTCTTCGCAACATGGTTCGTTGTCACCCGGGTTGGAAGACGCCGGATCATCCTTGCGGGATGCATTCTTTGCACAATTTGCATGCTCGTCATGGCAGCCATATACTCTTCCCCGGCAGTGTCTAAATCAGGTGCGGGCGCAGGACTCGTGGTTCTTGTCAGCATCTATGTCTGGGCCTTCAACTTTGGCCTCGAGCCATACGTCTACCTTGTCGCCGGGGAACTCCCCGCACAGAACCTGCGTGCATATACCATGGGCCTTGCCGCAGCGACCAGCTTTGCTTTTGCGTGGCTGTGTGCTTTCACGACGCCTTACTTCATCAATCCGACGGCCTTGAACTGGGGCCCCAAATACGGATACATCTGGTTTGGGAGTGGCATCATTGTCTGCGCATTCATCTATTTCATGCTGCCAGAAGTAAGAGGCAGGACACTGGAAGAGATCGATGAAATGTTCAGGAATAGAGTCCCGACCAAGGATTTCCCGACCTATGTCTGCGTCGAGGGTGAAGAGGCCAAGAGAAGAGGCTTGGTGAAAGTCATGGGAGCAGAGAAGCCAGATGTAACCATGGTTGAAGTTGTCGACGACAGGAAGGCTTGAGGGATGTTATAGGAGCAGCGAAGCCAGATGCAGCCTCGGTTGCAGTTGCGCCTCCTTGGCCTGTGAAAAACGGTTGTTATGAATCGAAGGGCAGGCTCCGTTCCTATTGACAGAAAAAAAGAGTCACTGTAGCACCTCAGACTCAGTCTCGCCGGGTCCCACGGTTGCAATTGATATATTTCCGGATCTATCCAATGGTCCAAAGGCCCAAAGGAATCCTTGGACCTTTCAAGAGGAGAAGTCAGACGGCGCTGTTTCCAATCTGCGTTAGGCACCGGCGTTCGCATATTTGGTACCTAGTTGCCTTGTTGCCTTCCTGCCTCGGTGCCCTCCTCCACCAATCGCACCACAGAAAGTATTATATGTCATGGATGGTCGTCCTTGCCAGATGATTTCTATCCCAGGGCAAGGGCAATCATATAGACGTCGCGACATGGCTCAATCCTTCTGGGACCAAACGTGCGGAGATTCTGGAGAGTCCAAGGACCTGTGCAGGAAATGCGCTTCATTGAACTTGGAGAGGACGTTTTCCCTTTCCAAAGGACACAACACGCCTGTCACCGTGATCAGGCTGGAGAAGGGCTATTATCAACCCTCGTGTCCGCTGTGCAGATTCCTGCGCCAAATCGCGCACAATAGCCCTCAATGGCCGACGCCCATTCTGACCTTTTTGATGGCATATCGTCTGTGTACCCGCGGTGGTCCTTCGATGCTCGACTGTCCGCATCCCGATGTAGTCTTTGGGGTTGTTGGGACAGATCGAGAACTGCCGTTGGCGAGATTTCTCAACGGGGACGGGGGAAGTCTCGAAAAGCGTCCACCCATCTGCGATTCCACCTGTCACTTGCGAGATGCCGGTCTTATACTGCCCATGGACCGAAGTACTGCTGGCTCTATCCGTTTGCAGGGGCACCGGATTCATGTCAACTCGGTCGATTTTGAGGTCGTGAGCAGTTGGATAGCGACATGCAGGAGACTACACCCCCAGTGCTCGAAGCCCAGCGCCACTGCAGGAACACATCCGCAGTGGCTATTCGACTGTCACCACAGGAGACTTGTCCGCAATTATCGCAGTGTCGATTATACCGCCCTGAGCTACGTCTGGGGACCCGTTTTGACGGCTTCCTGTCCCAGCGGGATTCAGGAGAGCAACGACGATCTGACTGCGTTGCCACAAGTCGTCGAGGATGCTATTACTGTCACCAAGGCTCTCGGTTTTCGGTATCTCTGGGTTGACCGGCTCTGCATTCCGCGCAATGACAAGCTTGAGTTTCACAACGAACTGAAGAATATGGCATCGCTCTACAGGGCCGCTCAGTTGACCATCATTGCTCTGCACGGGGGTGGTGCGGCCGATGGCCTGCCTGGCATCAGCACCGTCCGTCGTGTCGAACAGCCGTGTCTTGAAATCGGGAGTTGTCGGCTAATTTCTACTATGGGCACACTAGAGTCGGCGAGGCGTCGATCGAAGTACATCACTAGAGCGTGGACGTACCAAGAAGAAGTCTCGTCACGACGGCGAGTGTACTTTACGGATCAACAACTATACTTCGAGTGCAGCGCTTCGTCGACGTGCGAGACCGTCGCCGCTGATGGCTCGCTTAAGGAGCTCTTTGCAGAGCCGACGGTCCCTCGCTTTGGCACTGGCAGACATGAGCTGGACGAGTTTGACACGGCCTGGGAGCACATTTCTCAGGTCTCACGAAGAAGTCTAACCTATGAGTCTGACAGGTTGAATGCTGTCCTTGGCCTTCTCGAAGAACCGTCAATGTTCGAAAAGGCGTCCAGTCTACGGCAAATATATGGCATGCCTATTCCCCGAGGCAGAAGATGGAGAGACGACAGGCCTTCTCCCGATGCACTGTTTGCTCTTTCACTTCTCTGGACAAGACGCCGTACTGACAATCGACAACGTTGCTTTCCGAGTTGGTCCTGGATAGGGTGGACCGGTGGGAAGGTCGTCCCAATTTCCCCAGAACAACACGCCCCGAAGGGTTCTTGGTCGAACGACGTGGAGGTGCTGCTACAGACAGGCCACACAGGAGAATCGGTGAGCTTGAGCGACCTTTCTAGATTTGCGGAGGCTACAATCGACGAGATGCCGCGGCTTCTGTTTGTCAAGAGTCGAGGTTGTCGACTTCGCAACCTAGTATTCAACCCAACATCTCCTCAATGTGTGAAGGCAACCTTCGTTTGCGGGTCGACGGAGAGATCCGTCCCCATCGACACTGAGTTGCGTGCAGACGAGCTACGATGCCTCGAAACCCGCGGCACAGTCCTTGCCTTAGATTTCGTGGACCGATCTAGGGGACATGATCTGGACCGTTCCGCTCCCTTGCTGGTTGTGGCGGCGTTAAATGGCGATGACCGGCCCGTTGAACGCATCGGAACCATCCGCTTGTCGTCAATTCTAACACTTACATACCTAGAGCGGCTGAGAATCGACGATTTTTTATCCAAATGGGAGACCGTGACGGTGCGAATAGAGTAGGATGAAAGACAGAAATTTATTGCTGTTGTCACAATCCGACACGAATTATCATTAAACAGCGACAACTTGAACGCTTCGGTGACGATTTGAGGCGGTGTCCCCCTCCAAGTATACTGCGACGGGGGGGCAAACACAGCGGGCTTGAGAGCTCAAAAGTGTCAGTGCATGAGATCATTAAACTTGTGGATTATCTATCTACCCGGGCGCGAGGTAGCCTATCTACATATACCCAGAGGCCCGAGGGATTCTTGCAAAATGAAGAGGTTGGGCAATGGGCATGCTTTCTCCCACACAAAGAAGGGCAGCAGCAGCAACGTTGACAATTGAAGCCGCGAGACGGAGACGATTTTCCAACTTGAAACTCGATCCACCTTGAATTGTTCCGGGTCTGACCCCAGGAATCAAACCTTTGCAGCACTACGGTATATGAAATAGTTGTCATGTACTCTGTAATATTTTGATATTGGGCTCCGTGCCGACAGTAATAAATGTAATGATACACTATGACCTCTCCCCCCTTCCATCCAAAAAGACTTCCAGTATATTCATTCGTGACCGTGAGCGTAACCATGAGTGCAACTATGAGTATGACGACGTATGCCCGTAATGACTATCAGTGAGCATAGAGTAGAAACCAAACATGACTGTGACCGTGACCGTGACCGTGACCGCCGCATCCTGGGTGTATGACATATGATAACCTGACTCCATCGCTCATACCTATTCAACGTTGCCTGTTTTCGTGTTTCGCGTACCATGTACCATGTATCATGTATCATGTCATATCGCACGGATCCCAAGTGTGCGACGCTTGCCATTACCATGATGAAGCCCATGACCACGACCATGACCATGACCCATGCATGCCGATCAAGACAAATAAACAAACGCTATCAAAAAAAAAAAAAAAAATCAAAAACAAAAAAAAACAAAAACAAAAATAAAAGCGCCATAAAAGCCCCCCCTAAAAAAGGGAGATACCGAAGACTCAAAAAGGCAGAGACGGCCGGAACCCCCCTTCACGACCTCTTGAACATAAAATACCCATACATCCCACCTACGTCTTGCTCCACCATTGGGATCTTCCTCATCCCCCACCAGCGTGCGCCCATCTTCCACGCTCTGGCTCCGTTGTCGACACTCGCGCCGGGTAGCGGCTGCCGCACGTACCATCCCCGTCGGCCGAGCTCTTTGACAACCCACTCCAGCTTCCCGCGGTCCCTCACGTGTGCGGTGCGTCGCTTGATTTCCTGCAGCACGTCGCCGCCGAGTTCGATGACTTCGAGTGGTAGGGTGTCTTTGTCCATGAGAGAGGAGGGAGAGTACGAGAGTGAGAGCTGTGTCACGGAGCGGACGGATGTAATGTCGAGATAGCGCAGTGTGCTGTGGTGAGATTGCGTCGACGTGGGCGATGAGTCATCCTCTGGGGCGGCGACAGCGTCCGTGTCCATGGCGTGATCCTCGTCTTCGGAGGGCGCGGATGACGGAGATCTAAAGAGGCGCATGATGTCGGTGCTGAGACTGAGATTCGCGCCACGTAGGCCGAGTTCTTCGAGATGGGTGGCCAGAGTTCTGAGCGCGGGGATATGGGAGGGATTGACCTTTGCGCCGCCTAGATTGAGGGACCTGAGACTCGAAGGCAAGGCGCCCAGCAGTCTGGTGACGTCGTCTTCAGCGAGCAATCTATGCCGTGAAGCGTCGGCGGCGAGGTTCAAGTAGATAACATTCTCCCTGACAGCAGGATGGGTGGTGAGAAATTTGATGACACCCGCCCCCGTCAGACGCGTGCAGCGTTCGATATTTAGGTGTGTGATTGTGGCGGTTGAAGGGATTGACAAGAGAGCTTTGTCGTTGACGAGGGTATGTGCGACGTCCAGGTGCGTCAGGTTCGGAAGAAGCGGGAGTAGCACTTCAAAAACAGGTTCCTGGAGTGTGGTGCATTCATGCAGTGAGAGGCGTTTCAGGCTTGTGAGTGGAGTGGAAAGTTGAGTCGTGACCGTGGTGAAGGCCTCCGCAAAAGGGCGAGAAGAGCAGGCACAAAAATCCAGCGCTTGCATAAGAGGCATGTTGAACAACTTGGAGATGATATTGACGTCAAGTTCTTCATCCACGTGCTCGTGGACCAAGAAGGCCTGCAAGTTCGGCATGAGATCCAGACATGCGTTGAGGGTCTCGGGTTTCAAGAAAGGGGTCTGATTGCGAGTGCTGCGAGCGCTGCCAAAGCCCATGTTGGAATAATGAGAGAAGTCCAACCACTGCACTAATTCTCCGAGCTGAGGAGTGGTTTTGAGGGTTCGCATCAATTTGGCGAAGGCCCTCGATTGCGGAATCGAGACGTGTCGGTATAACACCCTTACGGCAGCTGCCTGGATAGTTCTGGACACGAGTGAACAAGTCGCCAGGTCAACATGAGGGCGTGCATAGGGGTCCGCTGTGTGATCGACCGTCACATAAGAGAGGATTAGTTCCAGAATTTCCTCCGGCATAGCCTCCAGAAACGAAAAGCGTTGGTGCGGAGTAATGCTCGAAACCTGCGACAGAGTCTCGTCCGAGTCGTCGACAATTGCCGTGTCTGTTGTCGTGCGATCGAACTCTTCGCTTAGGCGGATCGAATCTCGGACTTTCTCCCGCCAGACGTCGAGACTGAAATCGGCTGGGCGTGGGTGGACTCGAGTAATCTCTTTGGCGAAGGGGAGGTTGAACAACTTCTGCGCCGCTCTCCGCTTCTCCAGTTCGTCGAGAATCTTTTCCAGCTTCCTGGGGTTGCTGCGAGCATAGCCCTCCAGCCTCGTTCGGACATGATCCTCGTGGGAACCATTGAAATGAAACGAGCACAAGCCCTTGGTCTTACACCACCGACTGCATGGCCACGCGATCCACTCAACTTCTTCTAGATCCTGGGATGACAGGGACGACCCAAATGACTGGGGGAGGCCATCATCTTTGGTCAATGGTGGTCAGCGTCGAAATACGTATGCAGGGTGGTTGATCATGACATTACCTGTTTCTTCCTTGACTGATGCGTATGAGAATTTTCTCGAAGTCGTCATTTCTTCGGGAGGTTCGATAAGATGGTGATAATGAGCTTTGAACAACAATAATTCCTCTGGTCCTTCGTGTTGTAGGCAAGTGGAGGCAATTTTGTGGTGTGAGCAGGTGCCACGGTCTGGAAAGTCGGAGGGTAACATGATGGCCTTATTTTTTTTCACCCGTGCTCCTGTCTTATGAATGCTCTAGATTTCACCAGATGGCCAAAGAATGATAACACATCCAAGCGAACTCCACCAGCAACCAACAGAAAAAGATGCAGGGACAACGAGAACGTGTCAATAGCACAAGTTAGGAAAATATTATGAAAAATGGGGGTAATAGAAACATGGGAAAAGAGGAGAGGACAGGAATGGTCTGTGTCACTGCTTTTCAGTTCCCGATGGACGAGTGACATGAGCGGACGGAGCATAACTGTGAGTAATACGTACCACCGTTTTGCAAAGCCTCGACTGTCGACTAAGCAGTTAACGGCAGGCTATGAATCACTCTGCCCCGGATTAGTGGACCATTATTTTGTTTGGCCCGGTGTGGAATGAGGACAGCGGCCAGACTTCCAAAAGCATGGGCGCTTGGGAGGGATATTCGCGGATGGCCAGACATGAGACCTTGAGATTCCCAGGCGGCAAAGGGCCTCTCTCGGCTCTGGTGGTCAGGTGGCTGGAGTTCAAAATACGTGGCGTTAAAGGAAATGCTGACAAGTAGATGGTCGACCTACGTCGTAGGTAGGGGCAAAAGCTGTATTCGCCCTCAGCTCCTGGCTCGCAAGGAGATCCGGACATGACGGGATTGACGCCACGAGGGGGAAAATATTGGCTAGCAATGCCAGATGGCAGAGGGAATGAATATCGTGTTGTCAACCAGAGGTTAACATTACGTAGGAGGAAAACTTTTTCGCTTTAAGAAATGGCCGCAGGGCGGGCAAGGGGCCAAGGGGCGGACCAGTGGCGGGCCCCGGCGGAGTCGGCACAGCTAAATCTGGGGTAATAGTGCACGCTAGTATCTTGGCGTCTAGTCGGCGGCCATTCACGTGCCGCTTCAAAGTTTTCATAGTGGCTTGTTGGGGCTCCGCCGCGTTGTGCCTCCGGTACCGAAATTATTCTGTTACGTAGGCGGTGACGGCGACATACTTCGAAATGGTGGAATCGCCTCACCCTTTGACGCCATACAACACACAGAACGCGTAGTATTCATTTGAAAAACGGTGCTGACTGGGCATTTCTCATGACAAACACGTACAACCTCAAGACGTCAATCATCCGTTGACCCTTCTCCGCAACTATTCCGCATCTGTGACCCCTGCCCCCTGACGGTTGAGACTACCTCCTCGGCACATCACCCCGGAACTCCAGCCGGTACATTTGTATCTCGAACGGGGAAACACATTAAAAGGGCCAGAGGAGATAAAAGACGGTGAAGGACCACATCCCATCGCAGCCGACAACATACGACACCACAAAAATTGGGACAACTCATCCCTCATGCATCAATCCAGCCGCCCTGGGTCACGTCGACCTTCTTGAGCACCTCACTGGTGTTTTGTCGGGATGGAAATGGCGACTTCAAGCTCAAAGCCTCAAGCTCCGCCTTTTCAATCCCTGGTGTCCTCGCTCTTCCCCGCAAAGACTCTCCGCTTCGAATTCGTTCGCACAGCGTCTTGAGCACACCTCCAAGCCACTCAAAGTCCTTGAGCTCCAGGTAGATTTGGCCGCAGATCCGAGTCCACAGTTTCCCGTCGTACTCGTAGATGGCGACGAACGTGTTGTACTCGTCCACCAAGGTCTTTTCCATCCAGGCGATGTGGGTGGCTACGTCTGCTTCCTGGATGATGATGGGACCTGCCGAATGCAGGCTCGGCGAATTGAGAGGGGAGTTGGAACGTCTGGGCTCGCCCAGGTGTCCCCCTGAGCTGGCCGAAGATGATCGAAGCTGCGAAACACCAGTTGCACTGGGGAACCCGTACGACGACTGTCGCAACGCGGGAGAGAGCCCACCTGCACTTCCGGCTCCACCAGGGCCCATGCTAATACTTCCCCGAGAATAGGCGCCAATGATCGTGATTGGCAAGAGCACGTTGGCCATGGCACAGTCCCTGAGGCCGCCAGCCCAACCTATACGCCCTCCGTCACGTTTATCGCTGGCTTCGTAGCTTCCCATTGTTCGCAATCCGTATCCCGCGTCCAAATCGTCCATGACTTCAGTTCCGAGTAGCATGGCTAGGAGGTCAGCCCCCCTTTGAGCGATATCCCTGATGTAGTTGTAGATGGCTTCCTCACCCCCGCATAAATTTTGCCGGAAGTTGAGGGCCGCTGGGACACAATAGTAAGGGGTGTTGTCCGCAGTAGCGACAAACTGAAACAGGTTGACAAAGTCTGACTTGTTGCTCGGCGGAAGAGGGTTCCGAATCGGCGATGTCGCCAGCGGCACGAAGCCATGTGAGGTTGGAAAAGTCGTCCGGATGAGGTGTTGATTACGCTTAGGCACGTGAAAAACGGCACAGCCTCGTGGGGTATATAGCCACCTGTATCATGTTAGTCAACAAAAACAATCCTAGCATCGCGAGCAGATTGTCTCAAATGCCGTTTTCACTTACTTGTGGCAGTTGCTGACAAAGAAATCGGCGTCGAGCTGGGATAGATTCAGGGGTATCTGACCAACGCCGTGGGCCGCATCGATCAAACTAAGAATGCCGTATTCTTTGCACATTCTGGTGATCCTTTCGAATGGGAACCGCACCCCGGGCAAAGACACTATCGTCTCAAAAATACAAACCTTGGGAGTCAGCCCATCATACAGTACTCGTGATATCGTCTGTGACAGCGCATTGAGGATCTCGGAATGCGTGCAAGGAAGCGAGTAGGCAAAGTCTTGTCCATGTCCAACCTTGCGAAGTTGGAGTTGTGGATTTGTCTCGACAATGGAAGCCAGCGTCTTCTCAATGGCTCCATAGATAGTATCGAAATAGATAATACAGTCCTTTTCCTTGTACTGTAGATTGCGCAGGACGGTATTGACACCTGCAGAATTAGAGTTGTCGGCGACAAGGAAAATGCTGTGATGAACCCACCGGATGTAGCATTCTGTACAAAAACACACTCGTCGGTGGGGACATTGAGGAGTTTTGCTATGCGCTCCCGCGACTTGTCCAGGAGGTCAATATATTGGTACCGCAGGAATTTATCCGGGGCTGCCTCCGACAACTTCTGATAACCTCGCCGAGCATTGCGGACCGGTATTGAGTAGGTACCGAATGAACCTACGGATGTTCAATTAGGACATCTTCATCGATTGGAGATTGTTGGTTATGCGATGCGCAGACAACCAAGGTGATAAACAGGCTGATAAAGCAAGAAGACTTGGCGTTCTGGAGACTACCAGGGAAGTGGTGTGGATGGGCATACCGTGATTCAAGTTGACGTATTTGGGATCAAACAAGAACTGGGCCTTGAAGCCGTGACCGAACTCCGTGACCTCACCGAAAGAGCCCATGTTTGCCTTGTAATCGAAAATTGGACAACACTGCTGGATGGAAAGCGCATCAAGGAACAAATCCCAAAATAGGGGAAGGAAAGGGTTAGTAATGAAGTTTCAGCAGACGAGCCCGTACCCCTCTCAACTTTTTCGAAGCGCCGCAAGGCCGTCGTTTGGGTGCCAGCAGCAAAATAACAGGATATGCAGTTAGGAAGACAACGGGACGACAGGAATCACACCTCGCCGTTGCAAATATGGAAGCACCGCTGCTGCGTGACTCAGTCTAGGTAGAGCTGAAACATTCTGAATTTTGATCAGATACGAGGTTTCATGGGGGCGAGAGGGCGCCTCCGGGGCGGGAATAGCAGTCACGTCGCATTCTGCAGAGCCAAGGGCTTCGATCGGGTCTTGTCGAACCAGGGCACCTGTACGTGCCGTGCGGTGCTGGCCACTGAGCAAACAACTAACGGCTGGGAGCGCAACGAGAGTTTTTGTGAGGGCGGTAGGACCCATCTCAAGCCCCTTTCGTGGTGGCTGGGTGCCTCCGCTAGGCTGCTCGGGGCGCGATGGGCCAATCATGGGCTGGACTCTTTGGCGTCAGGCCTTTGTGCGATCCTTCGTTGATGGAGCCTCGGCGTGGCTAGTCTAGAGCAACGAGAAAAGCAATGATGATCCTGGATCCAGCGAGCCAATTCTTCCTCAGGCGTGCCTGCTTCTCAACTCCAAATTTGGGGAGCTGGATATGAAGGGGACGAGGCGACGTCCGGCAGTAGGACTTGGATTAGGTATAAAAATGAGGATGCTGACACAGAAAGCTGATTCGCCTGGTTGAAATAGTATATATTCGCACAGGGAATGGGCCTGGAAGCCCTGTTCCTCCTTTTTCGCACGGACCAAGGCTTGTTGTCCTGGCTCTTCTTGTAGGGTTCCCTCCAACACCGAACAGGCTCCCTTCGCCATCCTCAGGGGAACCACGTGCTTGACCCTCTTCCCGGAACGGAATAACTATTTTCCTCAACACGCACAGACGACCTAATACCCAGTACACTGTCCTTATCAAGGTTCTCTCTGATTGGTCTGTGAGAAGTACCGAATCGGCTCCACGGCTTTGTAACGGCGATAATGACTTCATACCTCGGTCTAATGAGCAACGCCTTAGGGAATTCCCCCGTCATCCCCCCATCATCTACAAGTCTTGAGCGAGGCAGGTCGGTAACTGCTCCGCAGTTTGGGAATTTAACATTTACCATATAGTTGCTGAAGCTGGTCTTGTATCGCGAGTAGAACACCGACTTCCACTACTCGCGAGATATCGCCGAATCTGGATTTCTAAGCCGGGCAACGAGTTTGGGGCACGACAAAGCCATCATAAAAATTAAAGGAAAAAAAATAAAAAATTCAGTGGCCTTGTGGTTGCTTGACATTGGAAGACCCAAATATAGCTGTGCCTGGAAACCTGTGCCACAGTCCTTCACAAAATGCCGAAAGCAATCTCGATATCAAAGGTCGACGGCAAGCCCGGTCAGGTCTATTATCCATTATCGCTAGATGAAGTCCCAAAGCCCTCGCCAAAGGGGAAAGAGGTCCTCATCAAGATCCATGCCGCGGCTTTGAACCACCGCGACTTGTTCATTCGCCAACACTTGTATCCAGGTACCGCGTTCGGCAT